GGCTAGCTTGATGGTCCACCAGCTGGCTATTGTGATTGTGATGATATGAAACCTCATGAATGATGCCTGGAAAGGACAGATTCTCCTCATCAAACCCTTTCACCAACCAAGATCAATCCTTTTGAGAGGAGAGTGAATAGCAAAACCTGATGTGGGGAACCCACGGATGACGTAGAAAGCTGTGACCAATGACCCGGAGGTATGCGAACCTTGGAATCTTATGCAGCGGCTGCATGGAATCCACTGACTTAAACAACACGTAGCATATCGTAGCATGCATTTTGCAGGGGAATACGATAGACCTCGTTCAGTGACGTTGTCACCATGTCCATTTCTTGCTAGTAAACCTATTTGAACATTATATAAATTATATATATATAATTACCGCAACAGCAAATGCGGTCATGTAGACATGACAGGATAAAGTTGTCCAAATAGGGCTCCTCAAAAAGATAGTCTGGTAGCAATAAGTCCCGCTGGTCATATATTTAGACTTACTGGATACTTTGCAAAGATGGGTCGAGAGACTTACCACAAACACACAATCACAAACTGTTTTCTCTTTTTCTCAAAACAGTTTGTGCATGTTTATGCCTAACGATGTCTTGCACCTTTAAATACATCACAGGAGCGTGGACAGGTATCAGGGGCTCTCGACCAGAAGCGGGTCCTTGGTGATGGGTCGCATGTGTGTTGGGTGTGCTGGGATGTCCCCAGCTGACTGTGGCTGAGTTTGGCGCAGGATCCCGATGACATCACGACAGCTACTTTGACCAAACGCAGTATCCATGAGTTGCGACTAAAGGTGAGCAACTCTTACTTTGCCGCCGAATGACCATTGTTCTGACCGTTCGCCAAAAAAAGGTGAAGGGTTCCCAAGTGCATCAGAACTTTTGTCACTTGGAGATGGGCAAGGCATGTGGATGTGCGAGGCGCTGAGCATCCAGTAAGTCCCCACTCTTTGAAAAGGTCTCTTCATGTTTTTTTGAATCACAACACAGCGCTTGATGCACTTAATCAATGACATCGAGTCATAAAAACGGCTATAAATCAATCGGAGTCCAAACACCTCCACCTTTGTGGGCACAGCACTGCCGCGGCACAGTCCGACTCTGCCGTATATTTGGCAAGGGCTGTCCAGTCCATGAGTCGCCTCTTCTATCACTATTGGTGTCCCATGTTCTGCAGTTAAGATGTTGGAGTCTTTCTTTCAATGTTAAGAGTGGAGTGAAGACGATTTCAACTCAAAGGGTCCACACAGGTCATGGCACCCGGCATTAGGTCGTCCATTCTGTTCATGTTCTTCAACCGGTCGGTCCCCTGGTTTTGACCCATAGCCATATATCTTGTATGGACCAAAAACGAGTTGTGACCTTTCTCATGGTCCCACTCAACTCCTGACCACTCAACTCCTTGACTCAACTGCGTCATGTCGTGTCGGCGTGTGACAGGCATCATGACTCGATAGACGGAAAGAACGACCGAAAGGCGACATGGAGGTCCCAGAGGGGTGGTGCGCTCCCTCACATATAGCCACCTCGGTTTCCCGCAGACGGATGAAACCGAGGAGAACATGTGTACCCACTGAGAAGACTGATCTGCCGTCACTTTGTTTCTTTTTCTGGCAATTCATGCTCATTGGTACCACCCCGAACATCCACTGAACATCACTGAACTAGTTGCAATGAAATAAAATGACAAGCTGGAACCACCTGATGAGACTTTCAGCCCTCAGTCTCGCACACCTGTGGCCAACGCGGTTATTTAAACCATGCATAGCTGCATGGTCAATGATCGCCAGCGTGACAACATCGCAAACTGCTTGGAAGACGAAGAATCTGCTTAGAAGACGGAGAATCACCGCATAAGGCAGCGAAAGGAATGAGTGTCCTTTTTTGCCCAGCAATGTGAGTATTGTTGACCGGTAAACTTCCATTCCTTAAAAGGGACTCCACTTGGTTATAGTCAAACGATCCCAATCCACGTCGTGGTCTCATCCCTTGTCAGCTCACCTGTATTGAATTCGAGTTTGAGGAGACTTGCTCCTGTTTGCGACCTTTGTGCACTCCGCCGTCTCACTTTCTTCAGAGGGTTCAGGGACGTTGGACATGCGAGTTGCAGAGTTGCGCGCACACACAACTTTGAAGTTTTTGTCCATTTGTTTTCTTGTACCGCGTGAATTGTCAGAATGTGAAGCCACGTATTGGAATTGAATCTCGCGGGATGCCAGGTTCTAGTTTGGTGTAGGTGTAAATAAACAAGTCAGCAACCCCAACACTCTCCTTTGCTGCTGGTAGCCGGGCCCTGATACGGCTCTACTTCGAATGGAAGGGTGGGTCCTATCCTTTCATTTGTTTGGGTTCTGACTTGTTGGATCACCGCGCGTGACTATGGAACTATGGAACAAGGTGAACTGGTGCGTGTACAAGGCTTCCCTTCAGCCATGGCGTCCCCAGCAAAGCAACTGAGAATAGGGAGGCAAATGCCCACGTCATACTGAGAGGACATTTGGAATTTTGCCCTTCAGTGCACCGACAAGGCACCCATACGGCGTACGGCGTGGGCCTTCTTCTCCGCTCGCGCGTCACGAGCAACAGTGACCAACGTCTTGAAGCCGTCCCGGGGACCAAACCCGCAGAGCTGGTCGAGGAAAACGTGGCTTATGACGGGAGTGGTGCGCCTCCTGGCGCAAGATTTTTGATGATTTTTGAAAGGCATTTGAGCTTTGTCGTATGGGTATGGCAAATGCTGTGTTCAATTGTTTTCAATTAGCATGTTGTCTTAGTCGTGTGTTAAACGTCTCTCTCTCTTGGATGTATGCCCATACGGTACGAGCGAGTTTTTCAGCGAGTTCCACCTTGTGTCCAGTACAGCCTTGAAGAGCTTTACGGATGCTTCGGAACTCTGCTTTGTTTTGCTGGTTCAAGCCATACAACCGGGCAAGCAGAACATGTTGTCTCGGCAACCCAAGCTGAAAACTTTCTGCATGTTTGGATATGGGATTTTGGAAGTTATGTTGGACGGATTGTTTTGTTTCCCAGCTGTCTTGGCAAGACGTGATTGAATTCGCTTTGTGTTTTTGAGTCGTCAGCTTTTGCGTTTGGCCTTTATTTGGTACAATGTGTTGCAATGTTGAGCCACATGTTGCTCCAGGAAACTTAGAGTAATGTCAGGCTTGGTGGCCGGCCAAACCACAACAATGAGGAGAACTGCTATGCATTACTCAAACATAACATTACTGGCCGGGCATTCAAACGGGCACAGGCCCCGCACTAAGGGTGCCCCAATGGTATTAAGGCATGCGAAGCGTGCTGAACAGCAAGGCCGACCCAATAAGGCCGAAAGTTGGTTTGCCAGCTGCCATCAGCGTTGTTGCGCTGTCACAGTTTTTTGATGACAAAGCTTGCACAACTTGGGGAAATCGTCTCCGTTTACGGGGAAGCTCGCTGGATGACGCTGACAATGGCATGACATGAAGAGTGAATGAGACAGGCTCACACACAGCGAGCTATCCTTCCCAAAACTCTTGGCAGAATCCCCATAATATTAATTACAAACACAGAATTGTGAATCATTAGCATTGCGTATGCGAACACGTCAACTTGTCTCAGAGAGTTGTTTCAAGAGTCCTGAGGTGTTTAGACATAGCATCACCCATGCATTCATCGACGGCCTACAAACAGAACCATCTGGAGGGGTCCAGCCACACGCTGACAAATCCTAAACAGTTACGCTAGGTGTTGCCACCTGCAAAGCTGCTGACTAAAGGTAAACTGCTGGTGCAGGTTCAGCTGTACCACTGTAAAAACCAGATGCCTTCCGCATCGTGTTCGAGCAGAGAGTGATCATGAACAGCTCTGAGTCCCGTGGATCGACGATATCAACATGCTCGGATCGACAGTCCTTTCCCTGGTTGAAGATTGTTCGGATCCACCAGGCAGTCGTCTCGGCTGTGCAATTTTCGGACCGTGGAGCGTCGAAATACAAGTTTGTGAGAGATTTCAAGCACTGAACAGGGGGAATCTAGTGGACATGCCATTCACACTCCTCCACTCCTCAGGGTTCACAAGATACCAAAGCCTTTGACGTGCTTTTCCACAGGATCACACCAACTGGTCCTGCTTAGCAGTGCTTAGCACTGGCCAGCTCCAAGAGCTGATCAGGGTCTGAGCTTGTGTGTATCAAGAAATCCCGTGGCCAATCCAGATCCGGAAAAAAAACACACATGGTGATGCCTTGGCCTTTTATCCGTGGCGCGCTGGGGGTTGGAGGGCCCTTGCAGAAGATAACATGTTCCCGAGCAGGTTTGAGTTAGGCAGTTAGGCACTTATCCAGCTCGAAATGTGGGACCACTGCAACTACACGATCGAAACACCTTATCACCTTCAGGTTTGATATGAGGGAATCAACAATTTGGGACCGAAGGAGGGATGTTGTTGTCATTTTCGCACAGTTAAGCCTGGATGCACCAGGCTGGACTTGGTCTCTCTTTTTCCGTTCGGACGCTTCTCAAGAAATCATCCCCAAATACTTGCCTTTGTCCAGCTATGTCTTCTTTTTTTGAGGGTCCAGTTTTCGCTTGAAGATGAGCAAGCGGCTGTGACTCTCATGTGCAACGCCACAAGCCTCATCGTATGCCTTTGTGATTTACGCTTCGCATCGCTTTACGCTTTGCCCGTCCTTCTCGTTTCAACGAATTTTAGGCTGACCTATTGCATCTTTTGGTCAACTGATCAGTGAGGCAATCATCAGAGGTATCTCCAGAGCACCAGAGCATGTCTCCAAAGTCCACCAGCGAGCTACAGCGAGCTTCTCTCTCTCTCTCTCTCTTTTATTGGAGAAAAGAAAGAACACATCCTCACACGACCTACCAACTATATAGATATAGTAATATATATATATATAATATTATACACATCCAACATAATCCAACCATCCACGACATTTCTTGGGGCCCAACAATTGTTTGGTTGGTTGACCCCCGAAATCATCCTCTTTAGGCTTGCAACTTCACGGCCCTGGCAGCGACCTGCAGCGGACACTGCTCGCACGGATCGCTGGAAGCGAAGCACGGGTGATTGACCAGTTCGGCATCTTCATTGAGGCCACAGTGCCGGAGATGGCAGGCGCCGGCAAAGACGGCTTTTTTTCTTTGGGCACTGAACATTCGTTCAGCAACTTCATTTACATACCAAACCTTTGCTGGAGGTGCACTGTCATGTTTGGACAGAGGGTTTTTCAACGTTTTTCAACAAGATGGCTTCCCCCTCTGCAGGACCACGCTTGGGATACTTTGACATCGTGGGTATGCAGCTGGTTCCACTGCAGCAATTCACGTTGGAGGTGGTTCTGGCTTCTGCTTCCGATTCATTTCCAATCGATCCTGGTGTTCAGGGGAGCGCTTCTCAGCAAGCATAGTTGGCCAATGATGATTTGTTTGTGTTGTCTCGTCCTTTTTCCACCTTTTTCCTGCTGGCACCTCCGGAATTGTTACGGCCTTGCCAAACCTTGTCACTCCTTGATGTGTTGCAGAATCTTGCCGGGACCAGATGTTCTTTAAATTTCGTAAGAAGACCTGAGCCAATGAAAGGAGCATTCCTTGAACGGACACCCCCCCGTTTAACCATGCTTGTTACTTGTTTCCAAAAATCGTGACAAGCAAACGCCTCATCATTTGCCTCATAATGTGTTGTTTTTTTGCCAATGGACACCAAAAGAATCAGGTCTTGATCTGGGCGCAGCCTTTGCTTTCGTGGGATTTCTCCGGACAGTGCAATGTGGATGTGAGCGGAGTCAGTGCCGGTGGCACCTGCAGCTTTGTACATTTTCACACGGCTTCAAGCATCCAGGCACTGGGCATCGGCTTCAATGCCATCAGCCTCAGACCGACAGCTGCTTGCCTAGGCTATGTTTTTTGCAAGCAATTCATGTAAGTAGGATTGTGCTGGATTCTACCGTATAGTGTGCTTTTCGTTCATGTTGATATTGCTGATGCAGAAGCACATGGATATTACGGATGCTCATGGCATCATTTCTGGGCTACAAAAATAGAAGACACCTCCATACATCTGCATAATGCAGAGAGATGCAGAGAGCTTTGGTTGGAGCCAAGGAGCAGATTGGATCTGCTGCGCTCACCTTTCGTTTCAGCTTGACGGCACCAAGTAGTGGTTCTCTTGGTTGGACCTGGTATGCTCAAGCCCGGCAAGCTGAACAGCCACGACAAGCTGCCATGGCATCCATGTCAAGCTTGACCATTCAACCTTCTCCTGAAGCCTCTATTTCACAGGTCAGTAACATCGTGGCTGGCAGAGGCGACTTGAACGAAACCAGACTCAGACGCAAACCATTGTTGAACATGTTTTTGGTCTCGTCGCACTCGAAGGTTTCAACATGTTTCAACCTGCGAATTGAATACCTTAGCACAAACAGGTGGAATGCCGGAGATAGTGTGTAAATTTCTTAGCATGGTGGCAAACAAACAATCACATAAAGAACGCGCATTCTTAGAATCTCACAGTGGGAGAAAGAGCCGTTCACGGTTACCTGGCCAAGTCATTGAGATGTTCAGACTTTGAGGCAGTACAGTTCTCGTGACGTTTCGAACTGGTGTCACTTTCTCCAATGGTGGCATCCGCTTGGAGCTTCCCAATTACCAACTCCACAGCGTTTCAACGGATGTCCTGACTTACGGGCGCTCCGCCCAGCCTGGTACCCTCTCGCTGGGGACCAACAGCTTGCGGATCGCCGTGGTGAATACGTGACCTGGCAAATCGGACTGTCCGGTCAGAGTGCCTAGGTCAGTGACTGTCCGGTCCTGGAAAAGTGGTCGTGTTGGGCCAATGTTTGTGACCTTGCACCGAGTGAGGTCAGCATTAGAGGCTGTCCGACGCTGTCCAAAACGGCTTCCCTGTCGCACCGAGGATCCTATGGAGCACCGTGACGTATGCGGTGCTCCTACGGCTTCAGAATCCCAGGACAGCAAGCCTCCCCAGCACCTGCGCCGAAGGCCTGTGCCCAGGCTGAAGGAAGAGAGTTCTGCCATCATTGTACAGTATATGTAACTATGATCATTATGATCATGGCTTGGTTAGGTTGCAGCCACAGACTATTTACAAGTCAACATGCTTTGTTGAAGATTGGAGCATGTAGCTGGCCAGACACATCGACCATACAGTCATGTCTAGCTGCGAGTGGTGTTTCTGCCTTACCCAGTACTCACCACCCTGAGGAATAGCATAGTGCGAAGTATGACTTGTGATTCGTGACACATCAAGATAGTGATCTGAGGTACTCCTTAGTCTCAGATACTTCCTTACTGGCCAGCCTCTCTACCACCAGCTTCGAGACGTCTCCTCCACTGTCTTGGCTGCTCACCATCGAAGCAGGGAGTCCAGTGGAAATCACTGGAAGCAGTAGCGGCTGGGCGAGAAACTCCATGGTCAGGGCTCAGGTCATCAGATGCGGGCTTGGACTGGGACACATGATGGTGGTATTTAGGCATGCGAACGAACGGGAGAGACACCCACACAAGTGGCTTTGTTTGTGGCTTTGTTTCTGGTCGATGCCGAGCTTGTGCGTCCGAGCTTCCCGTATTTGTTGGTTTCTCCTTTCACCAGTCGTTTGTTTCAGATCTCTCCATTCGTTTGGACACCGATCTCCATGGACCGTCCGCATCAGTCCATAAATGGACGGGGACGAGTCAGATAAGTCAGATAAGTCTCCTTCTGAGTGTTGTTGCTCCAGGTATTCAACCCGTTCAAGCAATTTTTCCTTTGGATGCACAGATTTCTGCCTCCAAGTATGCTGTCAGCGCTCAGAATGCCTTGGAGACTGGGCCCTGCAGGGATTGGGACTAGGGGTGATGAGCTTACTTGGGATGCTGATCAATGGGTACCAGCAGTAGAGTTCAGTGACAAGGTGTCTCGCGTAAGATCGCGCTGTTGGCTTTGGACGAACCTCCAACATGAGATGCGAAGCCCTTTCTTTGTCGGGATCATGGGGGGCAGTCTATGATGCCCGTTCACCAGCCAGGAGATATTTTTCAAGCTATCCATGGGTGCACTTTCAAGTGATGCGTCGGTCGCACTTTCTGCGCCCAAAGAGTTTCAATTCCTTTGCAACTCTTTCGCTGCTGGGCTGCGCATCAGGCTCTGGAGCTGTTCTTGGGCAGCACGCCTTGTGCGTGCGAGAAACCTTCAAGCCTTTCATGCTTACTTTCAACAAGAACATTCTGCTTGCTTGCTGTTTTTTTGTAGTTTGGAGTTTGGACATGTTTTTTTTTTTCCAGATTACTTTTTTTTGACAAAAGGATAGCCAAGATAGCCATCTCTAGACAGGATTTCTTGACCGTAGCGGATATGTTGTAACACAGCATGGCTTCTTTGGAATTGATTATATAGAAGATATAGCAGCCAAAATAAAAGAATGAACAAAGAGGGAACAAAAGGAAGGCAAGGCCATAAGGTCACCTTTCTGGGAAGTCCCTATAACCCCTTCCCCATCTTCCCGCACCTTTTTTCATCACTTTCTTCTTCTTTTGGCTTCTCAAAACATCCGCCGAAGGGGCCCTTTAATCTTCCGAGGTTGGTCCCATCACTCTGCAAAGTACTTTCCCTCCGCTGGACGCTTGCGCTTCCAGTGTCCCAGTTGAATCCAGCCGAGTCCAACGATCCCTCTTTGTGAAAAGCCGTAATGGTCCGGAGCAAAGAAGAGCCCAACTGTGCTTGTGCATGCCTTTGTGGCTTCACAGGTTGCCAAATCTCAAGCATCAGAGACTCAAGATTAGTTGGTTTGTCCATGTCAATGTGGATCAGTGTGGAGTTATCATGTTGTGCTTACAGCACAGTCGAATACAGATGATTCTGCATTATATGTCAGTCATGAGGCGTATTTGTGCTGAGACATTGAGTTTGCTACACTTTCCTTAAACTGCTGGATCTCTCCATGTTGGCAGTCTTCGGGCAATATACTACATTAAGAGTAAGACTAAGAGATTTAAGGGGATCAACGGTGAATAAAGCTCAGTTTCCAGAAATTAGACTGCTGGGGATATCAGAACAGGCGAGGCTTAATTAGGTAGACTGAAAAACGCGGCGAATGAATGCCATTTCCAGCAATGACGCCATGTTGATAACTATGCAAGATGCCCCACATCCCTTAGAGACTCTTTCAGGTGATGGCTTCCTATCTTTATCATTTTCTGCTGGCTCTTTCCTGGCCGCTGCGGCTTGGCGGGAGCAATCAGAGCTGAAAGCAGTAGTATCCGCGGAACGGGACCTTGTCCTATGCCCTATGCCCTATATGCAACTGGATTTGTTTGTTAGCTAGTTGCAGGCCGACACGTCAATCTACAAACCTAAGCCTTTGCACTACTCTTGCACATTACTTGGTGGAGCTTCTGTTTCTTTGAAGATCCAATTTGCCCCCAAAGAAATATCTGGATCTCTATACTGGTCTAGAAATGCTTTATGCTGGACTCAGCCATGTCGCGGGCCGAACTTTTGCAACCCAAGCTTGAAAGAGGCACCAGGAAGTGGATCAACGGTTTTAAAGGTGCAACTGGAAAGGGACTGTGAAGATCCTTCACACACTCCGACAGTGTTCAGCCGGACACCAAGCCGACACTGTTGGAGAAGGCCACCAAGCCGGAGACGGTCTGTTGGCTTTTTGCAGCAATCATTAATAATGTATTGGCTTTTGACACGGTATTTGTGTACATGGACCTGTCTAAGGACTCTGTACTGTCTTTTGGCATTGATGTCCACAATCCTGCCTTGGCCGGAGCTATCAACATCCAGTCAAGACGAGAACTGCTGCCAAGACCGCACTGATATGATCCACCAACGTCCAACGCCTGACAGTTGATCGAGTCGGTCTTGAAATGTTCAAGTAAGTCATACTTGATTTGTTGTAGGCACAGATGAACTGTTCTCTGCGGCCTCTATCAGATCATCGAGAGAGTGTGATTGACCTTTGATGCCAAGGTTTCAACTTCATTCTTTTGTTCCCGGAGCGGCTTGGACATTGTTCGAGCTTGTTACATTTCAGGCTTTGCTTATGGGAGCGCCGGTTTTGTGCTTTGTATTGGTTTTAAATCTAGTGCATTTGGAGTGCCTCAAAACATGGAGCAGAATGGTAGCCGCTAACCCCCGTACAGCCTGTATATATATATATATATATTTAAGCCGTCACAATGCACGTTGATGTGTAAAGTGTAAACTTCAAGGACATGTGCCTTCAAGGCTGATCTTTTTAGCTTCTCGTAGCTTGTGACTGCACCAGAACTGCCTGAATTCTGATATTTGGACTCATTTGGACTCATATCTCGGAAACATTTCAGCAGTGCCTTTGCTGATGCGATCGTGGGGAAACAGAGTCGACTGTGTGGACTGGCACTGAGGAAAACCCCACCGTTTGGGCATTGCATCTCCAGACTCGCGGTGTCACCTGCCAAGCAGCATACTTCGAAGATGCCTGGTAGCCCGACAAGCAAGCAGATTGGGAAGCTGTGGCAGATTGGGATTTGCGTTTTTCAAACAGATGAAGAAAACACCACTTTTTCCTGCGGAAGAGGAGTTCATTGAGTTGGCAAGTCCAAAGTGTGGTTCCATTCAGTTCCAGTCGTTAGGTATGATTCTTATACCGATACTAACCGATACTTAACACAATTTGGGGCACCGGATGCCGTATTTCAATCCACCGGATGCCGCACGGTCCAGAAAGCCTCGTCAGCGAAGCGACCGTCGCTTTCGTAAGCGACAGTCGCTGGTCAGTGACATAATTTTGTCCTGCATAAGTAGAGTAGACATTGGGCGTCCCATTTTAAGACCTATGGTCCCAAGTGATAATTAATTATATAAATAGAATTGTTGGTTAAAATTATTGATGAAGGCACATTTGAAGACCACTAGTTTCATTAGTTCTTTTTGTTCTAGAGTGATTCGAGCACGTCCGCCTTCCTTTGAATGCCTAGTAACGTAGTAATTGGTTGCTTGCAGCTGCCTTCCAGGTCTGTGTTTCAGCGCGAGATGCAAGTGCAATCGCTACACTTGAGCAGCTTTGTGCCTGGGATGGAGGTTTTCATGACCCTCCTCTTCAAGTTTCTGGGTCAGGTTCCAGGCGGCAAACCGGTCGCGTGGTGCCTGCCACGCGGTGGGAAGCCCACTTGGAAGTATGATGGTCTAAGAAAGCAAGCTTATCCAACAGACGGAAGCCAAACAAATTCCCCCAATCAATCCCTGGAAGCGAGGAATCTTGTGACTTAGTAGCGGAAAAAAGTCAAGCTCATGTAAAAGTACGTCCTTTGAAGATCTTACAAGCACTTTTAACAAAAAGAAGTCACTATGCCTTGGCTTCGAGATTGCCATGGCAGGTGTTGGCAGTGAGCTCCATTTTGGGAGCCCCACGGGCTTTGAGTTTTTGGCCAACTTCACCACCGATTCGTCTGCTGTAGGACCGAGCATTTGGGCGCCGTTTGTTGCATACTAGAGAGTTCGTGGTTGTGCGGGCGTCTTCTAGATGATCGTCTTCCTTCAACCCCTTGAGGCTTCTATTGTCATGGGACCGCAGTCTTCAAGTGAGGACTTGCACAATTACTTGGATTGGATCAAATCTCCGGACTTTCCCTGGCCCTTGTCACTGTAGTCTGTAGCGTAGTCACCGGACCGGGCTTACGCTGCTCCTGTGCTTGGCATTGAGAGCACGCTCGTGCCCGGCCACAAGAGCAGGATCAGACGCAAGCCTGTCCATCGGCACTCCTGTGGTTGGCAGCAACCTTAATAGTCTCTCAGTGCCCCTGTTGGGGCCTGGCTTGGCGAATGTGCTCTATGGCTTTCGGGGAAAGACGCTTAGTGGGCTTAGTTGGATCTTTTTACAGCTTTTTTGCTTTGAGAGGGAGCCACAGAGAGAGAGAGAGAGAGAGAGAGAGCGGGCGGATGTTTAAACTTACAGTACACCCTTTGAGAAAAGCATGTCTAAAATGTCCGGACTCCACCCTGGCGGCACTGGCCCCAGACATGTCAGAGGATCCGGACTCCTACACTCTCCCCAGACATTGCATCCTCGCCATCCTCCAACCGCTGGAGCGCCTGGGTCATCGCACCCACCGGCGGACTCGCCGGACGCCTGGAAGCTGGAAGCCTCCTGGGGCCCGAGCTGCAGGTGCTGCGCAGCTGTGAAGTCGCGCCGGCCACACCGGTGGACCAACCCTTGATTCAGAAGTCTTTTACCATATCTTTTACATGATGTTCCTTCAAGTTACTTGTTCTTCTTCCTTGTTCTTTCTAGGACGGACGGCTGGGGCATTGGTCGTCTGGGGGTGCTTGCTTGTGCATATAGGGGTTGTTTTGTTGGGAGTGGTTTTTGTGTATACACCCTTTGTATTCCTTTGTAGTTTGCCCGCGAGGTCTACGCATGGGACAATCAGATCTCAGTGTCCTTCATGGTCTCACGCAGCATTTTCTCCAGTGAAACATCGACAGGGACTGTCAAGATTCTGGCACCTGAGGGCTTCAGTTTCCCGAGCTCTTGCGTATTTGAGGCGCGTAGGAAATTCATCCGAGTTTGAGGGAGGTTGACGAATGCCACGTCCTTGCCTCCAGCAGCGACATTGTAATTGGGAGAATCTACCTAGTTATGCAACACGTATAGTGTCATGTGATATTGTAGTAATAAGATGTAATAAATGTTGCTGTTGGCCAAATAGAAGTCTCTTTTGGAGCAGTTCTTTTCGTGTGTCCGGTCTGTTTGCTTTTTCATCCGCTCGAGGCCTCCAGTGCTGGGCTTGAAGCTGCTAGATGTGAGGGCTCGGCCAACACAGCTTCCTTGACATTGGCGGTGGGGCGTGCTGTCGCGCGGGGCGAGGCGGTAGAGGTCTTTCTGGAGCTCACGAACCCCGAGGTGGGTGGTCACCAGGAAACCATGCGTTTTCTCTTTTTGGCCTTGATGCTTTGAGAGTACGTTGCACGACATCAAGCGCTGTTCTTCAAATAGACAACTTCAATCAATGCTCAAAGATGACACATCCCTGCGTTGAGGAAGATCCGGCGGGAAGCCACTGGAACGTGCTGACCTATCAGGGAGAGAGCAAATTGGAGGAGTGCGAAGAGAAGGCACCAAAAAGGATTCCTTTTGAACATTCTATGGGTACTTAAAAAACAATTTCCCGCAAACGTGTGTGGAGCTACTCCTGTCATTATATATATGTGTTTTAAAGTCAAGCAAGGCAGAACCATTTTCCTTTCCCAAAAAACTGCTCACTGGTCGCGCAGCTGGCGCCCTGCAAGGTCCCAAGCTTTTCCTTGGCCCGGCGCTTGGATCAAGCCTTTATCGCACGGGGCAGTTTGGGTCAAGACCTACGAGCAGGGCAGAAGCTCGGCTGGAAGACGGCTGTTGCTTGGGGATGCGGTCCGTGGTGGATAAGGCAGTAGTAGAGCATGGCTATCCATGGATCCAAATTCATCAGTGAATGGTGCCCTGTTCACTTGAACGTTTGGCATCGCTTGGGTTCTGACAAGGCACTAGCCTTTTGCTTTCCAGCAAGACTGCAAGGTTTGCTTTGGAAGTGTTGGGATGTTTTCCTCGCAAAATACTCCATACCCAAGCTAACAGAGCAGCCCACAAAAAGGTGTTTGGCAAATAATTCGGTCAGTTTTCTCCTATGTCCACACACGACACGAACCGGGGCATGCCGGCATTCGTCATTCCCTTCACATTCCCTCTCAGATCGCTGAGGTTGAGTGTCTATCAGTTGGTCTTCACTCACCCAGAGAGAACGGCCAAGGAGGTCACCGACATCGCCGCGGGCTTTTTCCAGAGAAGCACCATCAAGCTGACATTACCATCAGGATACAAAGCGCTCCCCAATTGCTTGAGTGTCGGAAGCTTATGGGAGAAGAGAAGCAAAGAAAGAACCATTTGTGCGTTTCGTGCGACGGGGCAACGTATAAATCCATTGCTGGAACGTTCATAGGCTGTCACCCTATTGTTTCGTTAGATTTCACAGGGCATTCAGCAAGCAGAAACCGAGAACGGTTTCGTTAAAAACCATGGTTCTGCCTTCTGCCTTCTGGTCTCTGTTTCGTTCTCCGAGGTTGCGAGCGGGGTCGACAGAGCCTTCACATCTTTGCCTGACATGTTGAGTTGCATTGCTTCAGGTCACTCGGCCGTGACCGGTTTCTCCCTCTGTGTGCCCCGAATGTGGGAGGGGTGACAAAGCATGTGGAGGGGTGACAAATCTGACGGGACTGGTCGAATACTGCATAGATATTCCCATACCAATTACAGGCTGAAGTTGAAGAGCTCTTCGTGGAATAGGCAGACTTGGTGACAGTATTGACATCACTTAATGCACATACAGTACCACAGCTGTAGATGACATGTTTGTCTTCCAACCCTACTCTAGCTGCAAGTCATCGAGCTGTGAGAGAGCAGCAACAGGAGTTTCAGCGATCCTTCTGTCCCTGTGGCGGACCTGACGGTGGCCTAGGCCAGCATGTGGAGATCCTTCTGCAGGGCCTGGTCGAGCCAGGCAAAGCCTATTCCTTGAGCATCACTGTGGCAAATCCAGGATCCTTAAGTGAGATGAGAAATCAGTGGAAGTGGCCCGGTCCTGCGCCAAGCACTTCTTTTGTTGGTGCCAGCACTTCTTTTGTTGGGGGCTAGTTGGACAATCCAAAAACTGGCTCAACAGTCCACCTGCACAGTAACAGGAACCAAGACCTGACCTTATTTTGCCGGTGAGCTGAAAGCAGGAATCAGACCTGGCCATTACACCGACTGGACAAACGCTGGTACCAATAAAATCATGACCATACATGAACCCTTTCCCCTTAGAATGTTTTTCAGAGGGTCACAGTGGAAGTGCGGCGGAGGAGTTTCTACCCCAAAGTTTCGGATTAACATTTAGTTTGGGGTGGAAACTCTCCGCCGAATTCCATCGAGAAGGAGAAGTCACCGCCTCCAGCTGGAGAGAGAGAGAGAGGGAGAGTGTTATTTAATGTTATCTAGAAGACCTTAGTCATCCTCAGTCCCCAGGTCTTCCTTCTTGAAGTTGCATGATTTGGTAGCCAGTGCTGTTCCTGTTCTTTGCTTGAAATCTGCCCAGCCCATGCGGCTCACAGTGGACGGTGTCAGGTTGCAGGTGGATGGTGCGGCAGTGGCCTTGGAAGGACCAGCCTTGAGAGAGCTCAAAGATGTGCAAGTTTCCTGTTTGCAGCCAGGAAAGGAGAGAGGGGAGAGATGGGATTGTCAAGAACGGAGGAACCACACTTGGCCCAACCATGGAAAAGGAATGAGAAGGCCTGATTCCGATGTGGAGGAAAGTGATCAAGGCCTGGTTTGGAAGACCAATTCGTCTCGGCCTTATCCCACGGTTCTTCTTCCTCCTGACAGCTACAACCGATGGTGACGTTGCAGACATCGAGTTGCTTTGGGGTTTCAGAAAAGTTATGGATGCTGTAAAGCGGTTCTGGTTCCTTGCAGAATTGCTTTGGAGTGCTAAGGTTCCGGAAGGCTAAAAGATCAACTGCAGGGTGTATCGAGAGTTCACAAAAGGTTCGCACATAATTTGGTAAGCCAGTGTAATCAAGTTCCGGGCCTGGGAAGGTTGCCAAGGCTTGTAATCAGAGCTTCGAAGTGTGAGGTTGTTGCTGACACGTTTCTTCAACAGTTAGATTCTGGAATGTTTTGGCTTGTGGAGGTTCCAGGAGGTTTCAACTGAAGGATTCTGGTTTGGGAAACCTGTCTTGAGAAGTTGGCCTGAAAATCCTTGGCACAAAATATGCCGCCGTTTGCCACGTGTACAATGTCGAGGGGTACAGTGATTTCCTTGTTTGTACATGGGATCCTGAGTCAGCTTCTGCCCTTCCCAGCTGTGACCTCCTTCGCACTGGCCACGGGTAAAGGTGATGCCTGCAACCTCCCGGGAAAAAAGTTCTGGCAACTGGGCAGCAGTGCTGAACGCAATCTCGCGAACGTGGATGCGTGTGGTTTCTGCCATGGCCATGGAACCGTGCATCATTTCAACTGACCTTAGGATATTGCATGATCTACTTTCGCACTGACGTGGAAGTCCCGGTGAACGGCCAAATCGATGTGAATGTGCCTCCCCCATTCACTCCTTCTTGCCCTGGAAGCTTGTACGATGCCAGAGTCACTATGCTTGGTGGAGATGTTGTGGCATCAGCGAGTCCTTGCACAGTGACGTCACCTACAGGATCAGCCACAAACTTGCCACATGTTCTAAGCTTCGGCCCATTGACCAGCAGCCTGCAGAGCAACACCGCGTACTTGTTGACCTTCCGCGCAACTTACCTACTCTAATGACAATGTAGCAGAGGCAGGTTTGCAAGGCATGGGAGATGGTGGCATTTGCACTGAAACACCAAGGTAGCAAATGGCAATTTGCAGATGCAGCAAAGCAACTCTGCCACATGGTTGGTCTCGACGCTTTTCGCAGGAGGGGGCAGCTGCGATGATCGGAGCTTGATTCGACTCATTTTCATGTGCGCACACCGATAGGCTTTAGAGACACATTATCATGATGATTGTTTGCGATGTAGGGGGCACAGCACTACTACTGATCACTTGAGGTAGCTTTGCCAAGGGACAGCATAATGCACAAACAGGATCCAAGTACCAGATGTGTTGCGTGGAAAGGTGTTTTCAGGTCAAGGGACATTCATACATATATATTTAATCATTTGATGGTTTTCTTTGTTCTCTTGATCCAGGAGATGTTCTTGATACTTCGAGGCCACTGCCGTCCTTCAGCATCCGCCGTGACCTTGGCCACGTGGTCTTTACACCGCCAGAACTGACATCACCCAGTGGGAGCTTCTATCCAGTCGATGTGAATCTCACACTTTCAGCTACTGTGAAGTCGCTCAACTCAGCAAACGGAGGTTGTGTCAAGGGACTTTCGGTCAGACCATGAAGTGAGACGATGTGTTCTACATTAAAACAATGTCATTGTGTCAAGCGCCCCATTAAAGAAAATAGAAGCAAGAGGATCCTTACCTTCGCATCTTCATTTTCTTTTTTAAACCTAATGATTCATAGGAAATGACAGCATTCGGCGTACGCACGATTGTCACTTCCACAGGTCGGGAACAGTGGTGTTCTATCCGCCGCCCATGCTCGCCGCGAACTGTCCCACACCTTTCCCGGGTGAAAGGGCAATTCTTCCCGTCGGTGTCGCTTGCTCTTCAGAAGGGCTGCCGGGCGGTTGGAAAAGTTCGCGATTGATCTTAGCGAGCTTCGGAGCACCCTGGTCAGCGAGCCGACCCTACTTTGCTCAACTGCTAGTTCAAGATGCAGGTTCAGAACTGCCAGAGTATCTTGGAGGCCAAATTGCCCTATTTGGGGAATTCCAGGCTTCCAAATTGCCCATGCCAGCCTTCAAGATTGAACTGCAAAATTGAGAATAGGCAACGGACTAAAGCTTATATAGACACCCAAATAGATAGAACAATAAAAGTAGATCCCGATTAAAAATGTATTGGAGACCGATTCTATCTATTTGGGGATCACCATAACCCATTTCTTAAGCTTCACTCTTCGTGTTGCCACATTCGCCCAGCTGACAGATGTTGCCCATCGGATGTTGCCCAGGTATCGCCGAACCTGGAGTATTGAATTGATTTCCAGCTCCACAGGCTCCACGCACGAGACCAACTCGCAGCTCTCAGGTTTCATCATCGCCTCGCGCGCGGTGGAGCAATGGCCATGGAGAGGATGGTTGAGCGGACTTGTGATTTTCTCGAAAGCTACACAAGGCGGGAGACATTGATTCATGGTGAATGAATGGGAATCATGCAAGAAGCGTCGTAGGGAACGCAAGAAACAGCTTGGGAGATAGTGATTTTTGGTTGGTGGCGGAGAAAAGTATACTGGAGATGAATCGGGGAGCATTAATGGAGCAGCCAATTTCTGCGCCCGTGAGGTGCGCGCAGCCAGGTGGAACTTCAATTTACAACTGCATCAGCTTTAATCCTTGGCGATGAAATTTGGGTTCGAGCGCCTGCAGCTTGGAAGTTGGTTGCTGAATGCTTAACGGAGTACATTTGTTGGACACGGCGTTTATATGCTTTTATAGAATGTAATATATGCCTCTCATGCAAGGACTGCAATGCTGATTAGCTTGTGTAGTTAATCCTTTAGATGATAAAGCACGGTCATATCTCCACACTGATTCAATGGCACGTCTCCAGCCCACCGAGGCAACGATAGTGCTGCATCCATTCTCCTGCTTTGCCAATGAGGAAGACGAGGTGGCCGTGCCCATCCCCTGCGAGGTTGCTGACGAATGTGTCGGTTTTCCATCTTGTCATCGCAGTGGGATGCGACTGGCATTGAGCACACCCTTGGCAGCTGCTTGGCCAAGTTGAAGATTCTCTTAGTTCCGTTTTCTGAGCAGGTCTTGGCCAGAACGGTGCATGCCCTGATACCGTACTGATACCATGGAAATCAATGGAGGTGTATGATGGTGTAGGCATTTGCCAGAACTGACTCCAAGTGCAAGCCTCGTGCTGAAGGAGCTCTTTAAACGCCCTTCTTTTGAAGAGCTCCTCGCATCGGATCCAGCGTCTCAGGCCGGCTCCAAGTTCCAGATCTATATGGATATCACACCCCTGGTCGCAACCAACCCAGAGAGCTGGCTGGTCAGCACCTGGAGAAACCTCACTGAGCTGGATGTGGCACCAGCCTTGGGCTTTGCTGTGTGGCACTGGATGGAGATCACAGTGTTCAAGGCTTTGGACCTACAACCAGAGGCCAGGTGTCTAGCGGGATCAAGTCAGGCTGTCGGCATCCGATGCAGCTGAGGTTCTGGCTGCTTTCTCCAACGTGTTTCTTTGGGCATCTTTGACCTACCCCCAAATCTTCCTGGGCATGAGGTTTCTAGAAGAAGATAAGTCAACTGGTTGGAATCAAGTCTTTCAAGTCGTGTGAGCGAAGGTGCTCACAACAGTAGATTTGGAGTGGTGGATGCTTTCACCTCTACCTGGACCTGGAGGAAGCATTCAAATCCATTCTCCTGGAGACGGACTGGCCATTTTTGTCACTCGGCTGTAGATGGACTCAACACAACAGTCTATAGCCAGCACCAAAATCCCCCAGGCAGCTGCCAAAAGAACATGTTTTTAATATTTAAGTCACCAAAGCTGGAGGGAAGAATAAGAGGCACGTCCACTTGGTTTCATCGTGCCACATCGCATTTGGTCTGCCTGTGGCACGTCCAGGACTTGTCAGTGGCTCTCGGGCGATTTTCCTTTGGGAACTTGCCCTTTGAAGCTGGAGACCTTGAGAAGCTGGGCCGAAGGCGTTGCAAAACGTAATGATGAATATAATGATTGATATCAACTTTGACTCATTGAAAGAGACATATCAAATAAGACTGAAATAAGATTTTGTGAATGTTTCTTTTGGTTGATTCAACCCCTGTTACAGTAGGACACCCGATGATGCCCCACATGGCTCAAGAGTTTGCAAAAAGGCATTTTAGTGGGCTAGTATTGTATTTGTATGGGTCTTCTAAGAGCTTTTTCTTCCAAATCTGTCCTGATTCCTGATGAAATCAACGAGGAAGGTGGTAGCACAAGCTGCTTTGCTGGAGGTCTTTTTGTGTTGCCTGGCTGAGCATGACGAGGCATGATTCAAGTGGTGCCATCAAATTCACCAAAAGGAAAGCTAAGACTAAGTCACCTCCAAACATGCTGATGGATTTCTATGCTTCCATCACTTCCGTCCTGTTTTCTTCCGTTCTGTCCCTGTCACCTCAGGTTGTGACCTGTTTGGAAGGACACCATACCGCTTTCAATTTGGAGTGCTGAATCCCAGTGCTCAAAGCATGCCTGCCCTTTCGAGTGACCTCGCCTGGAAGATTTACACCATGGCAGCTGGATCACCGTGGCATTTCGGTGAGGTTGAGGGCTACCGACTCTCTCGGCAGTTCGTCAGATCCAGCATTCTCTTGGAGGATCAGCGACTAGTTGGTGGCGTTGGCGATGGATTGGAAGCTCGTACGCCTTCTACCGGGTAGGACAAGGTGTTTTCCAGACGTTACTTGAGGGAGGAACGCTCCAGTTTCTACCGCCTTTTCTATCAAATCAACATCATACTGCCAACTGATTGGACTTGGTTTCTTTTGGTTGGTCCGTCGGATCAGATGCTTCAAACAGTCAGACGGGATGCAGAACAACAGCCAACGGAGCCTGAAAGGTGCAGAACACATCGTCAGTAAACACATGGCCATCCCCGCAGGGGTGATAATACAATCATATATATATATATATCGCTGTGTGGTATATAAGATATATATATATGTAGTGGTCCCTGAACATAGATAGAAATGGTTTCTAAAACATTTGTGGGATTTGCTTTTCTATCTAATTATTTGGGGGTCTATATATATATGGTATATACTCTGTTACTGTTACGTTCTAGCCTGCATTCAGCTTAGGAGGCACGCAAGGTCACCGTGAGCTTCTCTTTGCCCGGCATTGCACTCCACCGAAGCTCCATGTTTCGCATCGTCGCCCCCAGTGGCTGGCAGTTCATGGATGAGTGCTTTGGGCAGAATGCTGTGCTGAGGGTGGGGTGTGAAGGGATTTTGGAACATGAGCCACTTGGCCCTCCACTCAAGTGACAGTCCTCAAAGAGTACCTGAGTATACCTCCCTACCTGAACTGTAGAAGTCATTGGAAAATCGAAGCCAAGGTGCGAGCCCCAATTTGGTCCCTTCACCACAGCCTCCAGCTGCACAGCCGATCGAAATGAGCTGAGCTTGTTGGTGGCTGGGCTTGAGGGGGGTTGGCTCTGAAGTTTTATGGAGCACTCTCTCATCTAAGTTTGGATGTTGGAGCATTCTGGAGCTGTGCGTGAGGTAGATTGTCATCTTGAGAAAAAAGACTAGACGACGAGTGGCCCGAAAGCATTTTTCATCACGTAGGAAGTCAGAGTGTGAGTTATCTGTTAAGTGTTCAGTGTGAAGTGTTAAGTCGAGTGAGTTGAGGCAGTGTGTGGGTCTCTGTGTGTGTGTATCTATGTCTGTGTGTGTATGAGTCTCTGTCTGTGTGTGTGTCTCCGAGTAAGTTGAGGCAGTGCGTGGGTCTCTGTGTGTGTGTGTCAACCTTTTAAGAGAGCCGGGTGGTCGGGAGACATGACTCAGCTGCAGGGGCGCCAGAGCAGCTGCGAGAGATGACTCACCCGCGAGAGATGACTCATCCGCGTACTAAAGTTGCACTGCAAAGTCACCAGTTCTCAGCTTCCAGCTCCACAGATTGCTCCGCGTACTAAAGTTGTACTACAAAGTCGCCAGTTCTCATCTTCC